CCCCCTTTGCATTTTGGGCTTGTTGGCCTTAAGTATATAAGTGTATAGCATGCCTTGTTGTATCATTTCAATGGTTTGGAACCTCTTAACATGTTATCTCAGTCCTTGTGACATGCTTATATGCTTGCATTTAATCCTCCTTCAATGTGTTTAAAGGTTGTTACCTTATGCCCCTTATTTAGGCCTCGGAGCATGCTTGCACTTTTAGACCACCTAGATGCCATCTAAGTGCACCCTTGGCTTTGTTTAAGTCTGCATTTGACTTGTTTTAAGTCCCCTTAGCCTTGTGAGGTTTGGTGGACTTGACCTTGGTTTAAGCCTCCTTGGCTTGTCTTAAGCACTTGGGCCATTGTGGCATGTTTTGCTTGTCTTGTTTAAAATTGATTTGGCATCATCTTGTAACATGATTTTAGAGCTTAATGCATGCTATATGTCCATGATTGCATCCTCTTGAGAGTGCTTGAGAATTGCTCTTTAATGCTTGAAGTGTTGGAGATCATTCGCATGAATGTTTGTGTGCCTATTAGTCCTTCATTTTTGAGCACCTTGGCCACTATTTTTGGCCTAGTAAGGGCTGCCTAAACCATGCTTATGTCCATCCTTTGCTTGTTTGCATGCTTTCCTTGCATACTTGCATAAATGCATTGCATTGCCATGTTGCATCCTTAGCTCGCATGCCTAGGTTGCATTGCATTGTGCATGCATTGCCTCACCTCTTGAAGTGAGTCATGATAGAGGTAGAAGCCCCTTGGTTTGACTATGTGCATTGCATTACATTTGAAATGAATTTCAATTCCAAATTGAATACATGATAGTTGTAGCATTTCATATGCCATGTTTAGAATAGCCGAGCCCGCTATAGTTTGCATTTTTGTATGTGTTGCATTAGGCATTTCTGTATACTTAGGATTCATGCATGATTTCTAATAAGTTTCTATTTTGGCTTGGAGTACCCGGTGAGTTTTATGCTTTAGCATCCTTGCATGCGTGTGAGTGTTGCCATGAATAGCATGCTTACCATGAAGCTATGTGCTTATGTGATATAACTGCCTGAATACCTGTGGGTGAATGTTGGGTTATCTGAATCGGAATAAATCATCAATTGTTTCAAGCCTACCTGCGGGTAACAAACCATTTTCAAAAACAAGCATGAAATGTTTTGTTCCAATTTGGGCGACCCGGTCTATACTTGTATGCTGTGTGCATCACATAGTAATCTAGGCTAAAAAAATCGGAACAAGAACACACAATGTTTTCAAAAATAGATATCATGGTTAGTAGAGGCCGGTCTTTGACCGGGCGAGCGGGGGTGCTCACGAAGTGACCTTCCCCAATCGTACCCAAGTTCCCGAGCCGAGGCAACTTTGGTGATGACGGACACGTGGCCTTTGGCACCGAGTCAGGGTTTCCTAAATTTCCCAAAATAAAATATTTAGGTGGCGACTCTGTATCTGGCAAAGCAGTCCATGTTTGGCACTTCTTTCAAAAAAAAAAATCTGTTTTCTCAAAACGATTTACCGGATTTGGACTCTTTGGTTCAGACTTAGAACCGTGACAATTTGAGAGTCCTGAGCTGTAGTGACCCCAAATGAACAGAACGGGAGCCGTTCCTCCCGGGGCGTTCGGGGACGTCTACAATGCCTTTGAATTTGAGCCACTTAGATGCCATCTAAGAGTCCCCTTTGTATAGTCTAGGTCTGCCTTGAACCTATTTTAAGTCCTCTTAGCCTTGTGAGGCTTAGTTGACTTAGTCATGGTTCAAGTCCCTTTGACTTGCTTCAAGTACTTGGGTCATTATTGCATGCTTGGTCTATTTTATTTGCTTGGTTTGACACCATCCTAACATGATTTTCAATGCTTACCTTGCATGTCATATGTCCATGATTGCCGCATTTAAATGTGCTTGAGAGTCGCCTCATTTGTGCCTAAGTGTTGGCCCTTTAACATGTGCATGCGTGTATGTGTATTTGGTCCCTTATTTTGGTCACTTTGGCCACTGTTTTAGGCCTATTTAAAGTTGCCTAAATCATGTATAAGTCCATCTTTTTATCCATTTGCATTGCCTCATGTTTGCTTGTATGCTTGCATAAGTGCCTTGCCATGTCATGTTGCATCCTTAGTTTGCATGCCTAGGTTGCATTGCATCTTGCATGCATGCCTTATTCCTTGACTTGGTGATAGGAATTGGGCCTTGATTTGTTTGTTTGGTTTGCATTTCATTTGACATGAAAATTGCACACTTGATTCTTTGGGCCATCATGCATGGAAATGCGTAATTGGTGGTCCGAGAATCGAGACACATGCCCTTTTGAGTCACAAACATGATAAGGGACATGATTGGTGCATACATTGTTTGAATTGTATTGCCATGCAAGTTCTGTCCTCTGCTGCTGTGAGTTGCAGGTTCTGCAGGCATTCTTTGCCGACCGGCAGTATAGATTGCCGACCGGCAGTGAATCACCAGCCGATGGATTCATTTTGTGCCGGTGACTACACCAAACTGCCGGTGGCAATCCTATTCAGCCGGTGGCACTCCTCAATGTCCAAAGAAGCAGTCCTGAGATTTTGACAGCCTCCAGAGGAGTAAAAGAAAGAAAACAGAGGCAGCCTATGCATGGCGGTGCATTTCCGAACAGGACCGAGCGTGCATTACATCTGGCTCTCCTCCCGAGGCGGTTTACTGCTTTTCCTAGATTAATTATTTTGCTTAGTTGATTAGGCAATTTGTAATATTTAATTAGCTTGCGTAGTTAATTAATTTGTATTATTTATTTGGTCCCTCCGAGCGAGGGCAAATCTGTAATAAGTGTGGGTGCGTGTGTGTGCATGTCTTCCAACCCCCACTTCTTTCTTCCCTTTTATTTACCTGCTTATGATGGTAGACTAGGGCATTTTTAAAATTAGCATACCTTATGCTGTGCATGCGTGCATTCATGCATTTGGTATTACATACATCAGGCTCGGTACATCATGCTAACTGCATTTGTATTTCGATTCCAGATTGAATACGTGCATCAATTGATTGCATTTCATATGTCATGTCTAGGTTAGCCGAGCCTACTCTAATTGCATTTTTCCATGCGATGCATTAGTCATTTTTTAACATGAACTAGGTCATGCATGTTTGCTAACTAGTTTATCGTTTTGGCACGAAGTACGATGTAAGTATTTATGCTTTAGCATCCCGCATGCGTGTGAGTGTTGCCATGACAGTATGCTTGCCATGCGACTAAATGCTGATGTGATAAATTGTTTGAATGCTTGTGGGTGAAGGTTGGATTGTTTGAGTTGGAAAAACTCGTTGAAATCCGTATTTAGCCTACTTGCGAGTAGCAAATTCCAAAGCGCTTTTCAAAATAAACGGATATGCAATGCTTGTTTCCAAATTAGGCAATCTAGTCTATACTTGTTTGTTGCGCGCATAACATAGTAATTCTAGGCTAATAATTGGAATAAGAACACATAACGTTTTCAAAATTAGATATCACGGTTAGTAGAGGCCAGTCTTCGAACCGGGCGAAAGGGGGTGCTCATAGCTGACCTTCCCCGATCGTACCCAAGCTCCCGAGCCGAGACAACTCCGGTGATGACGGACATGTGGCCTTCGGCACCGAGTCAGGGTTTCCTAAATTTCTCCATTAAAAAATATTTAGGTGGCGACTCTGTATCTGGCAAAGTAGTCCATGTTTGGCACTTCTTTTCAAAAATCTGTTTCTCAAAACGATTTGCCAAATTTGGACTCTTTGGTTCAGATTAAGAACCGTGGTACAAATCGAGTCCGAGCTGTAGAACGAGGGCCCCACGCGGGCGCGTCTACACAGACATGTGGCCTTTGGCACCGAGTTAGGGTTTCCTAAATTCCCCCTTAAAAAATATTTAGGTGGCGGCTCTGTATCTGGCAAAGCAGTCCATGTTTGGTACTTCTTTTCTAAAAATCTGTTTTCTCAAAACGATTTGCCAGATTTGGACTCTTTGGTTCAGATTAAGAACCGTGACACAAATTGAGTCTGAACTGTAGCACGAAGGCCTCACGCGGGCGCGTCTACACTCCCTCACTACTCTACCCACATTCGCATTTTCACAAACAAAATCAACATAAATAAAATTCAAACTGAGAGAGAGAGAGAGAGAGAGAGACAATGCCACATACCTACGAGAGAGACGAGCTCAAAGAGAGGAAGGAAGGTGCAGCAAGCAACAGAGAGAGGGAGTCACTGTGAGCGACCCACAGAGAGAGAGAGAGAGAGAGAGAGAACAAAGAGCGATAGAGAGGGAGAAACTCTGGTTGGGGTTTTGGAGGAAAATAAATAGAGGAGGTAAAAAGTGTGGTTGCAAATGAGGGGGAGTGGGCCATTTCATAACTGGTTTCTGTTAAAAGCGTGTTTCCAAATCGCGCAATCATTACCTAAAAGCGCTAATACTAACAGCGCTTTCTTAAGTAAAGACGTGTTTTCTAACCACGCTTTCATAATTCCACTGTCTGAGTCAGAAACATGCTAAAAGAGCTAATAGTAACTACGCTTTCTTAAGTAAATGAATGTTTTTTAACCACGCTTTCATAATTCCACTGCCTAGGCCAGGAACATGCTGAAAGCGTATTTTGTAAACACGCTTCGGCTTAGTTTGGAAAATTCAGCCAAACTAAGCTTAGTTTGGAAAATAAATTAGTATAGGAGCTTAGTTTGGGAAAAGCCTCTTGAAGTTACACCAAAATGTGCAAGAACCAACGGTTGGTTAACCACCAAAACCACAAAAGGTAGAATAAGAAAATATCAACCAAATTAATACATGAGCTACACAATATGTAAACTATATTTTTTATTTTTCTCGAATAAAAATGTTTCATCAAATTACTAAGTAAAATGCAACATTATTATAAGAGTAGAGAAACTATTGATTGAAACATTTAAACGAAAACAAAACATTAAATAAAAATAACATAAAAAACAATCTAATTAAATAAGGAAAATACACACAGGACAATGAGAAGCAAAGAATACCTTTATTTTATTTTTTTCCGACTCCACTCATGCCATCAAAACTTCCAAGTAAACAACCTATTTTATTACAAATGAAAAGAAAAAATATAAATAAGAAACTATTTACTCTTGTTTCCAAGCATTGAAACCTATTAGAAAATAAAACGGTTGCACTCCACAAGTTCTTGTTCATTAATATAAAATATATATACATATATACTAATAAAAATAACGCACGGCAAAAAAAATAACGCAAATAATGAACTTGAATCTAGACAAAGATGAACTGAAGAAAAGAATGTAAACCCCTAAGAAGTATTAACATGTCTAGCAATGACAATGAAGTAGAAACATTACCTGAAGACTGAGGGGGCATGTTTCTCGGCCCTTTCGAGTCTCAACCCATTAAAATGATGAAAACGATGTGATGAAGAATGTGATCTAGTCTCTGTTTATTATGGGAAATTCTATTTCCACACTGTTTTGTCTCTGTGTACACAATTAATTTTTTAAAAAAAAAAGTTATGGCAAATTTATCACGAAGCAAAATGACCACAATAGACATCAATACACACTACAAATTAAATCTAGATTTTCGCTATAAACATCTTTAAAAAACAACAATTCTCAATGCACATCATTTTAAAAAAAAAAAAAAAATTAAAACTTAGTTCCTACATTGTTTCTCACTACCTCTATTGTTTTCCATTACTTGCTACACTCCATTGTTACACTCTATACATTGCTTGCATAAACTACTCTGATATCAAGTACTGAAAAATTGTAAAACATTCAGCACTACAGAACCGATTTAATTTAAAAAATTCAAAAATTAAGTATTAAAAATTTATAAATAATTCGGAAGTATATAATTGAAAATGTACAATAATTTCGGAATATTTTTTCTGATTGGTGAGTGACTTCTTGTTTCTGAATATTTTTTTCTGATTGATCTTTCAGTTCACTCAGGTTTCAATGGCTGCCAACAACAGCCCCTCTGCCCTAGAAAAAGAACAGGTACTTCATACATATACAGACACTAACACTATATATGTATGCTTATGAGATAGGCAAAGCTATTAACTGGAAAAGATTACTTTTTTTTTGATGATTTTGTGCAGATCACGAAACCCCTCTCTTTTTTTCTCGAGATCGCGAAATGGAAGCACAATAACATATTATTGCTTTTATTGTTGACAAATACTGTAGGGTTACGGTGGGATTGTTCGGGAAAGAGGAGAGAAAGTGGAATTACCTGGAAATGTTTGGGGTTTTCGCAGCAATTGCTTTGCTCTTTATCCACTGTATGCGGCTAGGGTTTCGCAGCAACCACTTCGTTTGCTCTGTGAGTGAGAGAGAGAGCTTCAATCTGAAATAGTTTGGTCCCAACAAAAAAAAAATCTGAGGTAGTTATGAAATTTAAAAGGAATGTTCTAGATGGCATGGTGATGTAATTTAATTTTTATATTATCATTAATGTATGGTAGGGAAATTATAAATACTCATATTAAAATTTATTTAAAGTATAAATTATTTTTTGTAATTTGAAAAATTATGAATATTTTAAAAAAAGAAAGTTTAACAAAATTAACTAAAAAAATAAAATTTATAATTGTTCTCCTACAAAATAATGAAATTATTTAAATTATTAATTGAAATATATTTATAACATCATTAAAAATTATTAATTGACTTGATTATTTATTAATAAAATAGGCGATTTGTTATGAAATTAAAAACCTCAGAAGATGGCATATAATTTTTAAAATCACATGGGACGATTCATATTTTAATCAAATCTCATGGGATGTATTTATAATTTATCCAATGTATTTTTTATTGAAATAGATAGTATTTTTTTAAAAAAAAAAATTATTATAGTATATGAATGGTGGATGAATTATAATTTTTTTTTTAAAAATTAAAATTTTTAAGTTTTAAAATTTTTTATATTTGTCTAGTTGTTTAAATATATAATTTTTTTTTTAAAATTTAAAATTTAAAATTTAAAAAAATAATTTTTTAATTTTTGTCCAGTTGTCTAATTTTTTTTAAAAAAAATTGAAAATGATAAAAGGCCAAAAAAAAAAAATTAACAAAAAAACTACTTAAAAAATTTTATTCAAACACCACTTAAAAATATGTGGAAAAGTTGGTGTGGAATATGCCAAAATGACATTACACCATTGGAATATCATTACTATAATTTAACATTTTACTACCGTAACATGTCAAACTATAATTTTAGCAATGCTACTATGACAATTAACATTGGAGATGCTCTTAGGATAAATTATGCATGTCTCTTATATTTGAAAAATATATATACATATTATAAATTCTATAATCTTAATATAATTATATTGAAATACTTAGTCTCATATTGATTAATAATTTATTAATTACATGAATAAAAAAAATGATCTTCTCATTTCTTTTACTCAACAACTTATATCTTAAATTATTTTATCTTTTTACATTAATTCTCATCCATTTAACCATATTAAAAGAAAAGTTAATATAATTATGTCAAAACTTAAAAAAAAAAAAATTCAAATTTTAAGGTTAGTGTAATGGGTTTATTACACTTTATACTTCTAAATTATCGTCAAATTGTCAGTCTATTAAATCACTAAATTATGAAAAATGCTATAGGTCTCAAATTTTCTACCAAATAAATGACCAAATGTCTCACATGGACCACACACTCATGTGAGACATTTGGCCATTTATTTGGCAGAAAAATTGGTATCTCTAGCATTACCCCTAAAATATATAGATTAAAATCTATTTAGTTCCCAAACTATCGATTAAATCTATTAAGTCCCTAAGATATTTAAATCAAACCTATTTAATCCTTGAAAAGGTTATAAAAATAAAATATAAGCTCATTAATATTATAAATTGGTAAAAGAACCTAATATAATTAAAATTTTATTTTAAAAAAATCTTAAATTTTTATTCTATCTTTAAAAAGTAGGCGTTACTTCTTAGGGTGGATTTTCCTTATGAGGATAAGAGAAATTATCTATAGTATTTTCTTATTTATCTTCTAAAATGACAACGTGTATTTGCCTTTATCTAATATTATATGTCAGATTTTGTTTATAATTATTAATTGATTGTTTTTAAGTTTTTCACTAAGTTCTTTTTATAATTTAATTAATATATTATTTTTTCTATTATTATTTGTAGCAAAATGTTTTTAATTTGTGGTGTTTTGAAAAATTGGTAAAAAGTTGACTTTTTGAATTTTTTTGCTTTTTGGTAGCTTTTTGGCTAAAAAAGCTAGTTTTTTGTGGCTTTTTTATGTGAAAAAACTAAAAAGCCAAAAAGCTGGTTTTTTACCAAATTCCCAAATTGTTCTACTTTTTCAATATATCTAATACTTATATAATTTTATTAGCAAGGCTGAGAAATCAGACTTTAATATTAATTTAATCACACAACGAAATAAAATACTTAATATAGACAAAATAAAAATCTTTGTAATAAAAATTTTTAATTAGGTAAGGTCTTTTACTAATTTATAATATTTACGGGCATATATTTTAATTTAATAATTATTTTAGGAACTAAATAGATTTAAGTTAAATGTTTTAAGAATTTAATAGATTCAATTGATAGTTAAATAGATTTTAATTCATAAACTTCAGGATCTTAGGAGAATCAACTGATAGTTTAGAAATTTAATAATAATTTATGCAAAGAAAGTGTAATAAATCCTAGTGTAATATACCCTATACGTTATTGGAAACCCAAAACCCAATTTAGAACCTCTATATATAGAACACTCTGTGTGATTTATGTATCGGTAAAGCCTATAAGGTGTTCAGGAATGAGACACTAAATAATTTTTTAATATAAATTAATAGAAACTATATAGAGGTAATTCCTAAAACAACTCTAAATTAATCAAATCAGACTGAAAATAAAGAGCATCTATGAATAAAAAACAAAGGCATATTTCATAAACACAAAGAAAATAGTCAAATTTTTAATTAAGAGATTATTATGTTTAAGGCAACAAATTTGAAACTTATCGCAGTCAAGTTCATTAATCGAAAAAATATATATTTAAAAGTCTTTGTACAATAACTTATTTTATATTAGCCAAAAATTATAAAGAGAATCACTGAACAATGGGATAGGAGAAAAAAAATTATACAAACATTGGAGGTACAAAGAAAATAGTCAAATTTTTAATTAAGAGATTATTATGTTTAAGGCAACAAATTTGAAACTTATCGCAGTCAAGTTCATTAATCGAAAAAATATATATTTAAAAGTCTTTGTACAATAACTTATTTTATATTAGCCAAAAATTATAAAGAGAATCACTGAATTAATGGGATAGGAGAAAAAAAATTATGCAAACATTGGAGGTACTACTCAAACATAGTCGGAGTAAAAACTCTGAGTTGCACCCCTCCATACTTGGTTTTTCTTTGGGGGGGGGTCTCACTATTCAATAACTCCCCCAAAATTATATATAAATATATGTACAAACATAATTTGCAAACCCTCATACCATGTCTAATCGTCCAATTATAAACAATCAATTTGTTAATAACACTCCTAGAGGTAATGGCTACTTCCACCAATACCTAATATGGATGATACAACATACTGATTAAACGATTTAGTGACATCAAAAATATTTTTTTGTTGTTGAAGCTATTTATATATCACAAACTATCATTATTTATGTTTGAATCTGATTTTATTTTTATTGTCAATTGAATCAGATTTTACTTACTGGCGACTGAATCAGATTTTATAAACATAGTGCAAGCCAGGGAGAGACAAAGGGGATGAACATTTTACCGTTGGCTGTGACCTAGTTGACAATCTCTTTGGCCAACAATGGTGATCTGAAACCACAAAATCTCGCAACAGAGAAAAACAGAATGAAGGAGACTGAAAGAGGGAGGATCATCAACAGAGAGAGAGCTTACCTGAATCGCAAATGGAGATAATCTAGAGAAAGGCAAACAACGACATGGATTTAGGGCTAATGTTGTGGGAAAAAACTAGTTATATCTAAAGTACAAAACAACGTAGTTTTATGTTTTTTTTTTTTTTTTTTTTTTTTTTTTTTGTGTTTTTCGTGACAGCAACTAAATATTTATGGAAAAAAAAAATGATAGGCGGAAATGAAAGGCGCCAAAATGGAAAAAAAGAGTAGTGGGAAATAAAAGGATGTAAACTAATTGAGACAGTGTATTTGCCAATGCAAAAAATTATCTTTTGAGACGGCAAATTCTCTTGACCCAAATAATTTTATGAAAATGTTTTTTTTGAGACGGTGATTTTTGCTAATGCCAATTTGATGTTTTTGTGATGGCAATTGTTACCAAGGCAAATTATTTGATTCAAATACTCCTTTTTCTTGTAGTGATAGTGATCCAAGTTAAAATGACTTTGACAAAGTCATTTTTTTTAGGGTAAATTACAAATACACTTCCTGAGATTTACTTAAAATACGAATTGCCCGCTGTGGTTTGAAAAATTACAAGTACCTCCATGTCAGAATTTTTTATTTAACAGAATTAATTGAAAAAGTAAAATTTCTAACTGTTCATCTATACAATAATAAAATTATCTGAATTATTAATTGAAATAAAATTTTAACATTATTAAAACTGTTAATTAACTTGATGATTTATTAATAAAATGACTTATTTGTTATGAAAATAAAAACCTTAGGGGGTATAATGCAATTTCTAGAACTATAGGGATTAATTTATAATTTAAGTAAATCTCGGGAGGTGTATTTGTAATTTACCTTTTTTTTATTATTATTATTATAGCGTAACTTGTTAGTTTGGCAGAATTAAGTGACAAATTCAGTTAATTTTTAAACTTTTCAACCATTGAATTGATAGATGTAGTAAATTAAAGTTAATTATACATAAGATATATAGTGAATGTTATTCCTATGAAGTTGTAGGTCATCAAATGATAAATTGTGAATAATTTATTTAATTTTAATTATTTTTTAAAATTTTTTGTAATTTGTAGATTTTTTTAAAATTTTAAAATTTTTAATAAAATCTTGATTTGTAAAAATTTTGATTTCTTTTTTTCTTTTTTTTTTAGGAAATAATGAAAATTAGTGGAAAAGTCCATTTTGAGCAACTTGTTTAGCTGAGATCCTATAATACTTGTGATCCAATAATTATTATATACTCATCTAAAAAGAAAATTATATACAAGTCCACTTTCTAAACACATTAATGTGTCAATAAAATGATTGATTAGAAAATAGTATATTTTATTTACAAACCCACTTTCTAAAAAAAAATGATATACAAGCTCACTTTCTAGACCTATTTAAAAATAATATATTTTATTTATTAGAAATTGAATTCTTTCCAGTTAAAAATTTTAACTGGATGATTTTCTTTGGCTCACTATAAACTCATTTTGGATCCGTTTTGATGATTCAAACAGTTTATTTTGTATGAGTTTTTGAGAAGATCATGCACACTAAAAATCAGGTCGATCCGATATTGGGAGCTACTTAATCGAAACATATTTGCTTGAAAAACAATTAACAGATAGCATAATTTTGAAAGTAATCCGTCAATTACTTTTCAAACAAAATGTGTTCCGATCGAATGACTCGCAATATCGAATCGACATTTTCCTCCTTTTTTTTCTACCTAAGACAATAGTCATAACTACCATAATGTGGGCAGAAGAAAGTACAAATAAGAAATAAAGAGAAAGAGACTAACAATGTCATTTCAAGCATATCACAATATTTAAAATGCCACCTGCGAGATCCATACTAAATTTAAATTTTCACTGGTTTGTGTAACAGATCATTAATAGAACGTTCACATTGATACAAATTAATAATTTAATGTGAAAAAATAACAATATTTAGTTTAAGGGTACAAAATCATTATGGATGATAATAGTTCAAGGTTAAGGTGCAATTTACCTAGACATAAGTAGATTGCTGGTGATTAACAGAGAAGTTGTACTGCCCCTACTGTTTTGATCAAAGGGAATTGATATTTAAAGCACAAAAAGGTTTTTCCTGGATGAGCTAGAGCAGTTATATTTTCTTTTCACATGTAACTCACATTTTTCTCTCACATATCCTTATCAACTCGTTGCAAAAATTGAATTACACCAGAACTATAACCCTCAGCGACAAGAAAATCGCAAATCAATTTGTTTTTGTATACCAGTTTCATTCTATCTCCTCATTTTTTCCTTTGGATTTAAACAGTCATGACCAACACTGATGCTTCAAGACATCAATCTCATGTGCAACTCTGCAACTCATCCCCTGATTTTGCAAACTCAGAGTGTTAACTTATATCTCCCCATAAGGGTCATGATTTTGAATTCACCACTCACGAAGCACAATTGCTTAATTCACTAACCAATATTGTAAATCTATCCGACCATGCTCTGTCCCGGTGCTTTGTTGATTCTATTTTCCATCATCAACACTCTCACTTTCTCGACTTCATCCCATTTCCCTCTTTCCGCATAAACATTTGACAACAACACATAATTACCGGAATTCCAAGGTTCAAGATCAGTAAGCTCCTTCACTGCACTTTCTGCAAGCTCCATGTTATCATGAGTACGACAAGCACTTAGCAATGCACCCCAGATAGTAGCATTAGGGTTCATAGGCATGGTGCGAATTAAGTCATGAGCCTCCTTCACACACCCACTACGCCCAAGAAGATCAACCATCGATCCATAATGTTCAAGTTTTGGTTCAATTTGATGCTTTGCGGTCATCGAAGCAAACAAATCCAAACCTTGTTGCACCAACCCTGCATGTGCACAACATGCTAAAACTCCCACAAAAGTGGCATCATTCGGTTTCACATCTTTCGACAACATCTCCTCAAATAAATCAACTCCAAGCTCACCCTTTCCGTTGAAAGCCAAACCGGAGATCATGGCATTCCAAGAAACCACATTTTTTCGGGGCATGTCCTTGAAAACAGTTAAAGCTGTTTCTAAAATCCCGCATTTGCAATAGAAGTCAACTAGTGAATTCCCTATAGAGATGAAATCTCGATATAGTCCACTTGACTTGGCATAAGAGTGGATCCACTGTCCAATATCAACTGCCTCCAAACGGACACAAACTGGCAGCACAGAGACCACAGTTGCTTCATCCGGTTTAAAACCATTGTCCCGCATTTGGCAAAAAATCTCCAAAGCTTCATTTTCCCGACCACTTCGAGCTAAACATGAGATCATAACATTCCAAGACACAACACTCCACTCACTCATCTGCCTAAATAGACGAAACCCCATTTCAAAATCACCAATTTCACAAAACCCACGTATCATCAAGTTCCAAACAATCACATCCCTATGAGGCATTTCATCAAACACGTTCATCGCATCCTCCATCATCCCACAAGACGCATACAATTCAACAATCCCAATCCTAATCGAGCTAAAGCTCTCAAACCCAACTGAAATAACCTCCTTATGAACTCCCTGACCCATTTTGAGATCAAGAAGATTGGAACAAGACTTGAGCAAAGGGGCAAAAGTGAATTCATTGGGCCAAATTCCTCGAGACTTCATTATTGTGAAAAATTTGAGAGAATTTTGAAAGGGTTTGGAGAGGGAGTGGCCTTTGATCATGGAATTGAAGAGGAAGATGTTTGGGTTATGGGTTTGGTGGAAGATGAGATTGGCGTAGGAGATCCTGTGGAGTGAGAAGCAAACAGAGATGAAGTGAGAGAGGATTTGATTGGATTGGTGGAGGTGGTGGCGGAGGAAGTGGGCGTGGATTTGGGTCAGTTGGGTTCGGGTTTTACAGCCGTGGAGGAGGTGGAGGATCCTCCGCTCCACCTCCCGCCAACTTCCGCTCATCTTCTTCTCTCTCTATATGCTGTGTCTTTATGACAGTATGTTTCTGTAGAAGAGAGAGAGAGAGAGAGAGGTGGTTGAAGAAGTAACTGGAAAAAAATATATATAAATTCAGATTTGATGGATTGTCTGCAATAAATATAAAATAAAATTGGAAAAAAAAACTTCAGATTTGATCCTAATTATTTAATAATTTATTTTTTTTAATCATAGATTTGATCTTGCTAGCAAACTATTCTAATTTTTTAACTGTTTCAATTGAGGTCAGGTTTGGCAAGTCTAAAAAAATTTAAAAAGTTAAAAAGTTACATAAAAAGTAAAAAAGTTATTACTATTCATAAATAAAAAAATATTAAAAATATATTTTATACATTTTTGTAATACAAAAGTTTGAATTACACTATCAGCCGTACTGCCCTAGCAGGAAGGAAGGTCATACACTTTTTGGGCAAAAAAAAAAATACATATGTAAAGGCACAAAGTTTGATGGTAATGTTGGGCCCTTGGGGGCCCACTAAGGGTTTCGTTTTGATAATCTGAACCGTTTAATATGTAGAACTCGTCGAGTACTATATGTCTACATAAAATCACGTTGATCGGATATCGTTAATTATATGATCAAATCAGTTTTGTATAAAACAAAACAGATGGTGTGATAGTTAACTGTTGAAAAAAAAAACTAATCCGATCATATAGCTATCGATATCCAATCAAGGTAATTTTTTATAAGTATATAATATTCGACGAGTTGTACATATTGAACGGTTCAGATTATTAAAATAGGACCCGTGGTGGCCCCCACAGACCAACCATCACTGTCCAAATACTTTGCCCCGAAGGAGGCAATAATTTGTTGTGTAAGACACGCTGCCCTCGCTCGGGAGGACACGCGCAGTGCTTGGTTTGGGTTCAACCTTGCACAAGGGGATCCTGTGGCTTAAACTAAGCGGTTGGAAAGCGACACCGCACATGTGGGCTATCGAATGAAGGCATCAAGTTATGCATTGACTAAGGCCTAGTTTGGGAAGACTAAATAAGTGCACTTTTTGACTTTTTATGAAATACGGGTTGGGTTTGGATTGGGTTTGAAGTGATGTGTTAGAGAGGTGATGTGACTTAAATAAGATGATGTGACTTAAATAGGATAGTGACTTTTTGACTTTTTGTCTTTTTTTAATCATGCCAAACTTGGCCTAAGTCCATTGAGGGACTACATTATGCTACAAGCAAGCTACGGATTGAGATGTTGCCTTACTCATGCTACACGTTGGTGCAACGCTAAGGTGCGCAATGGCCTTAGGTGGAATCTAACACACGTGTTGGCACGAAGATTACACTGTGGGCAAAAGATTGACCCTCGGTGGCTTGTGGGCTTCGTATGACCAAGTGGCCATCCAATATGCATCTATTGAGACATGCTTGACCCTACGACACTTCGGGACGCTTTTAAAGACCCAACATGCAATGTTGGCTTGTCAGCTAAGTTGGGGACCTTCGCTAGCACATTGTTGTGTGGCTAGGCACCTTGATGACATAAACCTAAGTTGGGCGAGCACCTTGCTTGAGGTAAGCTTGGCGCTATGAAACGACTTATGCCGTGTTTGGTGCACTTGAGGCGTTAGGCCAACTTGTGGCATCCGAGTGAAGACGGAGCTTCCTTGTGAAGTTGTTTTACTTGACAAAGCATTGGGCCCTAATGTTCAAACGGGTGAGACCATCAACACTCGATTTGTCAATGAGCTATGGCGGGCTTAAACTTGGTGGAGTTTGAGCGCCACACGAGCAAAAATTGATCCGCTGTGCCTCTAAAGGAGTCGGCCCGTGGCCGTACAACCTACTCAACTTTCTTCCCCTATACACTTTATTTATACAATTTTTTATTACACATTTTTTCGTAAAAAGACAAAAAATTAACCCAAACATCCATATTTGTTTCTTCAACTTTATAGTCCAAAAAGATAAAAAGTGTACTTATTTAGGACACCCCAAACAACCCCTAAGTATAGCATAACCTATATAAGTGCACTTATTTAGATAAAGTATATTTATTTGAGTCATATCACCTCTCTCTATTTTTCTATATATCTTTTTATAAAAAATTAAAAAATATACTTATTTAAATCATTCTAAATATCCCTAATAACATGCAATTTAAATAATTTAATTATTTGTTATTTCTTTATTACAATTGCCAGCTACCTCCCACCCTTATTTTTGATCATCACCACCCTTCCTTTTCCCAACCCACTACCCACTGTTTCATTCATTTTCTCCATTCAACACTACTACTCTCTTTTCCTAACTCACTGTCACCCCTCTCATATCTTTACTAATCCATAGCTACTATCGTTGTCCAGTGCCACTAACAAAAGGTGATTAAACTGTCCAAATTGCTCATGTTTTGCTAGATATAACTAAAAAAAAAAGAACAAAAAATATATAAAAAAAAACTCAAAAATTGTTTTAAAAAACTTAAAACCAGACAAAATGAGAAACTTACTAAAATGTGAATATGATTATTCTTTTTCTATCTGACAAATTTATGTGCACACCTCAATTCTTTAATCACATCAGCTGATGCAAAAAAGCAAGCCCAACTGGAAAATTTAAAACATTATCATTTTTGTTTCAAGGGCTGCTGCCTTCTTGTCTTCAATTAAGACAAATATTTTAATGTCTGACAGTAGAAGTCAGCTGGAATGTTTACCTTAGGGCTCATTGAGGCCTCCAATCTCAATTTGCTCAAGTCTCTATTTACCCCCTCTCCCCCAACCATAATCGCCACTTTATCTAACCAAAAACAAAAACAAATTTCCAGAATGCAAAATGCAAAATGCTATTACCAGCCTTGGCAACAATTTTTATCTCAATCTTTAGATTCAAATGTTACAACAAGCATGCTTAACCATATTGAAATGCAGTCGAATGGTAAAAGTGTTTTCCAAAGCAATATCACCTCAATCGAGAAGAAGCGCATCATCGCTCATCTATATTTTTGGCAACATATCCAGTAAGATGAAATGTACAAAATTGGAAATGATATACAGCCCCAACAGTTAACCTTATAACAACAGCAATGTGAACACTTTCGTTACTATTTGTTACATTCTGAAAGGAAAGCCAAAAACTTGAAAAGTTGCCCTTTCTAGTAGAACTCAGGAGGTCTAGACTAGGGATAAGCATCTTAAGATCACTTTTTGGATGAACCAAAACCCCCAAATCCCATCATTGCTGCAACATCGGCATCTACCTCAGTTTTCCTCCTCTGCTGCCTTCTGTTTCTGATCCATATAACAAATCAACAATCAAAAATCATATTATATTTCTCCTCAAGTAACATAAATTGGAGCATGTGCATCTCGTCAATTTTCCTTTTTCCTTCATTAAGTTTGTGTATCTATTGCTTATCAACAGGAAGAAAAAAAGGAAAAACAGATTTGGAACTAACCTTCTTCTCTTTCTCTCTCTCTACGTTGACGCTTCCTTTCTTCCTCTTCTTGCTGCTGTTTTAAGATCCGGTCATCAAAATCCACCAGAGAAAAAGAACAGAATCAATCCAATTTTTCCTTGTATATCCTCGTAGCAATGGAAATAGGTCAGGCAGAAAATGAGTTAAATCTGAACATAAGAGAATTGAGCAAAGAAATGAGAACTCATAACGCTTTTTGGGTTCACAACTGAGCAATCAATATTTATCAATTGTATTAAAGAAGTACACACAAGATATACAACTAAGCAATCAATAATACTGTTGATACTTAAAAATTAAACATCTGAACTCAACTAGCCTTAAATTCCAACTAGCACAATACTTGCTTCTTATTTTCAAGTCTTACCTTGCTCGGTAAAGGGTCCACTGTCTTTCCGCTTCTCGAGAAGTTCAAATTGCTTCTCGAGAAGTTCAAAGCCGAAGAAGGTTAGAGTATTAGCACACTATAACCCTATGAATAACTTCGTGCCCAAAATGGAAACTTGGGGTCCCAGATGAATAATTTGCTTTTCAGAAAAACCGAAACCTTTGGGAGTAGCGAATTTTTTCATCACATAATGTATACATATTGCAGGCACTTGCTTGTTAAGCAGGGTTATTAGGAGGGATTGGATGTTCCCAGAGATACAACACCAGAACTATTATATTCTTTAATCTAGCCATATCCAATGTTCAGTTGGGGCAGGACAAGAGATGGCATGAGGTGGACCCAATACTTTTATTGCCATCAAGTTTTATACCAAGCCTTAACCACCATCTACCTAATCCTCAGACTAACAATATAAGCCCCATGGAGGCACAAACAAAGGGGATAAGTGACCCCCATCAACTATTTTCAACCCAGACTATTTGATCCCGCAAGTAAACGCGGCCATTATACACAAATTATTTTGTTTATTCATACTCAGCTCCATTTATCTACAATGTGTCCTATACTCGTAACATAAAATGTACAACACGAAGAAATTTCTAGTTAGGATGCAAACCGACCATGGATATAATCCGAAGACTATTGAGAATGTCATGCATTACACAATTGATGTCTAGAACCAAATATTATTCCCCTCAAATCTGATGCTTCTCACTTTTCCCTTCTTTTTCATTTATCTTTATAAGATCGAAAGAACATATCAAATATTCAAGAAAAAAGCTATAAGCAATGGATTACAATCATTCAATTGGATAAACTTTTGGCCAATTAATTTTAAAACACATTTAATGATGGCTAAACACTCTTTTTTAATGGTTGGATAACGTTTAGCAGCATCATGCCAAATACCTGAATGAAAACGTAAAAGTTCTTCTTTATTGGTATTTGGATTAAATTGTTTTAATATACCACCAAACCCTAAGTCTGAGGCATCAGTTTCAACAATCTTTTTCCACTCTGGATGTGGTAAACATAAACAAGGTAAAGTTTGCACCCTGGCCTTAATTTTCTTAACAGCAGCAGTATGTTCTGGACCCCAAACAGGAGGGTTTTTTCTAAGACGGCTGTATAGAATGGCTGCATCAGTAGCAAGATTTGGATAGTAGTCATGAATATAATTTAAACTACCTAAAAATCTCTGTAATTGTGTTTTATCTTTTATT